ACCACCGACTACGACGACGCGCGCGCGCGCGCGAGTATCGTGGAGTTGAAGTCCACCCATCTTAAAGTTGCTGAGGTTGAAGAACCCTGGCTTAATGGACAGTCTACCTATTTAGATTTCTAACTTATATACAAGCACGTGGAAAGAAATAACTATTACAAAGCAACCCTTTCACAGTGCACTAGAGCTAGAAAAAAAATGGGCATATAGAGAAAGTGGGACTTGGATTCATAGTAAACCCATTTATACATTATCCAGATTGATGAGTTGCTATCAAGCAAACTGGTGAGCTGCTTAAAGACATAACCAGCTCATGCAATCTTTTATAGTTACACAAGTGAAAAATTAGACAGGACCTAAAGCAGTGTGAGACCAACCCCAGCATTCTCAAGCAATAAATAAGAGGGAACACCGCTGACCTAAATAAAGTACTCCTTTCTTTTGTAGGTTTCTTTAGCAAATTGCTGAAAGATATATTTGTTTGCTTCTTGTTTAAAAAAATATTAGGGGTGGTTTATAATAACCACTTAACTAAACTTCCATTCTACTGAGCCATGATAATACTGAACACTTTTTTAACCCTCACAGCTTCTCGAGAGAAGCCTATTCATTTACAGTTCTTACTTTTCCCTCCTAGATTCCTGAGCAATGGAAAAATATCGCTGTTAAGGCCAGAGAAAGTGAAATCATGTGGATTTCCACCTTGCCCCTATTAAGGAGGTTATGCATTTCTGTCTGAACCAACCAATTTCCCTCTAATGTTTACGAAAGAGCGTGAGGTCTTTATTGCTATTCGGTTAAAACAAGGTTGGTTAATGCCACCACTTCTTTCCTGGAAGACTATTTGCAAACAATATGTTCAACTTATGTTCAAGAGATACCCTGTTCAGGCCCTAGGACAATAAAGGTACTTATTAAGTGTTGCAACAGCAGCAGCTGGTGCAGGTGAGGAGCTCAGAATAATGACATTCTAATTTTTCAGCACCTTCGAAACTTACTTTGTATATACTGACAAATGACCCAAGGAACGCTCCAAGCTGGACATTTTCTTTGTTGTAGACGAGTGAGAGCAGCCGGGAAGGTTTCGTAAACAGATGTCGGAATGCTGATGGGATGCGAAGGCAACACTGGATCAAGTAACCGATGCTAAACATCCTAATGAAGCCCTAGAGGAGGTATTAAAAATGTGCCATTTAAAGGGAGGGAAACAAAGTCAGGAATTCCTCAAATAAGTTTCACTATAAAACACACCTTTTAATCTCAAGAGTTGACATGGACAGTTTTCATTTCTCCTAGAAGCCACAGATTTGTAACAAGGTTTTATTTCCAAAGTTTTCAGGGTATGAAAAAGAACTCCCTGTATACTAAGGGTAAATTTTCACATACTCTGAAATCTTTGGAAATAAAAGATTTTTTGAAAATAAAATATTTTTAAAAAATTTTTGAGAATAAAGCTTTTTTGAAAATAAAACATTTATTGAGATCCAGTTTGGTGCAGTGGTTAAGGCATCAGGCTAGAAACCAGGAGACCATGAGTTCCAGTTCTGCCTAGGCACAAAGCCAGCTGGGTAACCTTGCACCAGTCACTTTATCTCAGTCCTAGGAAGGAGACAAGGGCAAACTACTTCTGAAAAACCTTGCCAAGAAAACTGCAGGGACTTGTCCAAGCAGTCTCCGAGAATCAGACACGATTGAACAGAATACATACATACATACACACATACATACATAATTACAGGCTGACATTACTTTTCCTCCAGAAACCTCAGAATGGTACTTGGCTCTTCTCTTTGGGCATCTTCACAAAAATCTTGGAAGGCCAATTAGGCTCAGAGATGCTGAATGATTTACCCAAAGAGATCCTTGAAACTGACATTGTTGTGACTGAGTAAAAATCTGAATCCAGGTCACCCCTGTCCCAGTGCAACACAGTGTTCTGTAGACTATTACTCTACAAACATTCAAACTCCTTGGGGAAGAATGAACTTCTTGATTCCCAGCTCAGCTATTTATTTTTAGTAGGCCTTGAGCATTTCCTTTTCTTGGAGTAATTTGGGCAGCTAGTCATGGCCTACAACCATGTAGTGCTGTATGCATTCACTGGAAGCGCTTAATAAAAATAAAAAACAAGCGTGAACCCGAGGATTACTCCACTAACTCATCCCACACCCTCCCCTGGAATCTTAAAAGCACACTATTATGTTTCCCCCCTCTTTTGTGAATCAATTTGTCCAAACAAATTAGCTCTATCAGTCAATTCATCTTTGCTTTGCCTTAGTGGAATGGGGGTCTTTTAAGCAGAGGGCTGGTTCCGAATGACAAGCTTAAGAGCATTAGTTTCACTCAGACAGAAAGACACAACTCTTCCAAATCTCCTGCTCCTTAGTATCATTTCAGTAGACCAAGCCTCAGTGCTCAGTTGTGAAACAGAAAGAAAAACATTGTGGTGAGAAAGATCTTATGATCTCCTCACAAAGTCAATATTGTGATGGAAAAAAAAGTAACCAGGGGATTTGGGCAGGCTGGTGCAATATAGGTCACTGGAAATAGAGTTTTCATTTTTCATTTTGCTAGTGAACATTCCAAAATGCTGGTCTGTGTGAGCACAAAGCCATCAGTGTGAATGCACAAAGACCACAAAGATTAAGTGAAAAAAATTCAGAACACAACACATAGGAACTAGAATTCAAACTTGAGCATGTTCAACCCTTCAGTTCTTTCAATAACTACTTTGCAAGGGGTCTACTAGCGCAAAAGGAGATTTATGTGTTGTAAAGAGTTCCAGTCAATATTCATTATTGGATTCAATGATTTGTTTCAATGTCTAGTCCACTTCTGAATAAGCGTACATGATATTCTCCAAAGCAGACTTCCCAGACTTAGCACCTGCCTTTCAGATCTACAGCTGTCAGAGTAACTGACTATTTCTTGTACTTCTTCACAGAATCACAGTATCTCCTCACCTCATTGGGAACACATTGCTTCAAGTACCTTGGCAACTAGCAAAGCTGTTTCAAAATGGAGAGGCCTGCCTAAGCTTTCATATTTCCTTGGAGTTCAGTACTCTGTAAGTGGGGAGCAGAGGGAACTTGCTTTAGCAGTGATGTCAGCAAGTAGCAGAAACAATAATGCCATAAAAGGCTCAGGATGCTAACATGGATTGGCATGATCACAGATGTCTATTCATCCATCTGAAGTCACTGCCTGTCTTACCTCTTTGTTCTGCCTTAATATCATCTCCATACATATACCACAACTGCATTAAGCTTTTCAGTAACCTTAGGTGAATGGTTCTTTTGACTTCTACCTATGGGCTAGATTAGTGTTTTTCAAACTTTAAAATGTGTGGACTTCAAGTCCTTGAACTGCTGGCTGGAGAATTCTAGGAGGTGAAGTCCACACATCTTAAAGTTGCCAAGTTTGAAAAACATTGTAGATTTTTGCTGTTCTCTTTCTAACGGGCTACTATTCTGAACATTTCTTTCAGTCTTCAAGCAGTGTGAATCTTGGGAATCTGCAGGAGTCCTTTGTAAAGCTGTCAAATCAGATTTCTAAATCCTTCTCTCTCACACACAAACTAGCATCAACATGGCTGAGTGCAAGAGCAAACATGGTACATCTTACCTGAAAGCAGACAGCTCCAGATGACTCAAACTACTAAACTGAGCCAAACCACACAGTGAAGGAAAAGGCAAAACAATTCTAGGGTCATTAACCTCAAGGAAAATTCCTTCCTGACCCCAAATACAGATTATGAAAACAATTTAAATAAATTAATATTTTTGCAAAGTTCATTTCCCTTCCCATCTAAATGTACTGGATGACCATGAATTCATTCAGAATATATATACTGCAAGTCCTATCTAATCTAATGCAACTAGCATGCAATTAAAGTATTTTGGGTATTTTGGGTGCCACCAGCTCTTTCTGCTGTTTGTGTCTAGCACACGCTGCTTTTATTACTTTGATTAACATCATGCTTCTCTAGCCGAGACATCTGAAATGGCTGGCAGAAAGGAAGTGATAGCCTTCTGCAGTTCCACGACCAAGGGATTTAATGCACTTTTCTCTTCTGGCATTAGAAAAATGGAATGCACTGGTTAGATGCAGTTGCTGGAAGTGAGCAAAACAATGCAAACCACAATTTTTTCAGTCAACCCAATCTAATCTGTCTATAATGCTATTTATTTTGTTGTAGTAACTGGAATAATGAAATTTCCTCTATACTTAAAGAGAGAAAAGGGAGCAGTTGTAAGTTGCCCCACTTTGTTCACTAGTGAAAGAGGAAATGCCAGAAAAACGCAATGCATCAGGAAGTACGGTGATGGCAAGGCAGGCTGTTTGGAAGAAAGGAAAGCTATGACAAATAAGAAAAACTGCTAGTAGCTGTCCTTTCCAGAATAAAGAGACAACTGTTTCATTAAGAAAATAAAACCACATCAGCCTTTCCTTAAGAAACAGCTGCTGCCGATTCTGTCCAAAGACTCCTTAGAAAAAGATCAGAACTGCTTGTCATCCTCTTAAAAACCTCAATCCACATGTTTCAGACCAGAAGGAAATGACCTAAAGAATTGAATTTTGTCTCATTTTAATTAATATTAACACTTAAATCCAGACTGGCCAACACTGCCAGGATTCAGTTTGGCTACAGTTCTCTACCACATTACCAAGAAACAGCAGCAGTTGCAAAACGGAGCAGGAGAAACAGACAGGTTTCCTTTTAAGCACCCCACTTTCAAATCAAGATAGGCAACGTGTGGCACTCCAGATGTGTTTGAAGCACAGCTCCTAGGATCTCAAGGAAGTAAAAATTCAAAACAACTCCAAGGAAAGAGAAGATTTGCCTTCTAAAGAAAAAAGGGAGGTTGCAAATGATCCTGGAGGCAATTGGCAGGACTGTAGGGACACCAGCCTGCAAAGGAATCATGACTTCAAAGGACAGGTATCAGGTGTAGTCTCCAGAATCACAGACAAAGAAGGACTATCCAGTTTCCAGCTAATATGGAAATTTTAATCCTGTATTTCACAACACTTCCATTCAAGCTAACAAGAAATGTGTACAAACAGATGAATGTCTGATGGTGTCACCTGCTAGAACTGGCACAGACTTCTTAGGAACTCTAAGTTTATCAGTCCTGTTACAATCAGACTGGCAGTAAAGTTTATTAGACAAAACTGTGGAGGATAAAGGCAATCCAAGTCTTCTAGGCATCATGATGTACAAAAACTCCAGAATCAACGACTGGGGAATAACAAGAGTAGACTATTGCTTCCTTGTCCTGCTCAGGACTTCCCACAGGGCCTGGTTGATTATTGTGTGAAATGGAACACAGGCCTCATCTACAATGACCCTTTCTATTTCTTGACTTTGAAGGAGGTTGTTTTCTATTTTTAAACAGAGCATTTAAAAAATCTTGATGATTTATTTATAGTGCTGATTACTGTGTGAGTATTATTTTACAGGGTCAGGGTACAAGAATTTTGGGTGTGATTAAAAAGGCTAGTATGTGCTGGTAGCAGTGATGGAAGTCATTGCTGAAAATATGCCTGTGCAATGAAACTTAAGCCCATGAAGATTGTTCAAGTGAAAGGCTTAGTGTCTTACATGAGACTTAAAACAGAGTATTGTGAAGAAAGTCAATGCATAAGTTACAACTAAAGCTAAGCAACAACAGTCTCCTGTGTTGATTATTAGTAGTTTGAATTGTGTTGGTAAGTAGCTGGCTGTAATCTGCTGTAAGAGCTGAGACATGGAAAGTAGAAGAGACTTGCTCAGCACAAAAACTCAACAACTGCACTGTGTCGAAATATGCAAACTGTTGAGCTGCATCTTGTCTTCCATATGCTGGTTTTTCAGACCCACTGCTGAAAAGCCAAACCCATTAACTCAATTCTGAATGGAAGAAATAACATTGCAAATAAAACATTTTCCCCAAAAGCCAGTTTGCCCAATGAACGTTACTTTCAAAATCCGAATTTAAAATCTGCTGGAGTCCCACCAAAGCAAGTGGGAGCAGGTGTTCCCACCTGTCCCAGCCAAATTCCAGCCAAAACAATTTCCCTGCAGAGTTACAGAAAGAAAACACATACTAATCACATTCTGGGGGAGGATAATTTATACCCATGGACAACGAATGCTTTTCCTGCAGGCAACAACTGTGGATTTTCTCCTATTATCCTTAAACTACATTCACAGGCTAGCTTAAAAAAAAAAATGCCCCATGCACTAGAAAGACACAGCTGTATGGTTGCTGCTACTTGAGCTGCTGAGCACAGCACATTCCCAGTTGGGGAACTGGTTGCAAGTGGGATCTGTTACATGCTTTCTGGGTGTAATTAAATTAGTCAAGACACTCAAGACCTTGCTTTTCACTCACTTTAAAAGCTTACCATAGACACTAATGGAACATTTCTTCCACCTGCAAGGTAACAGCAGTGACAAAGGAAAGAGACACTTGTCAAAGCAAGACTCTTTTGAAGATGCTTCTTCAATGAGATTGGTCATTAAAACAAAATGCTCTAACTGGAGTTTCAGAAGCTGCTAATTCACTGCATCTACTAGCATACACCTCCTTGATGCTTTTCTTCAAAAGTACGATTACTGAAATTGCTAACAGTCTAATATTTTCTCCACCACAACCGTCAAGCAAATGCCTCAAAGCACTCATGAACAAGGCTTGGAAACTGTTTTGTCTGTCCTGTGCCTGTAGCATTATGAAGGCTAACATCTCTCTATTCTACCCAACTTACACCTCTTAGAACCTGTGTTCTTTAAATGTTTCATATTCTTTTGGAGGAAAAACTTAAAAGAGGATGAAACAGCTCTTGCAAGGAGGAATTATTTGGAAAAGCATTGCTAAGGCACCCGGGATTATAAAATATAAGAAAGCCACCCAGACCCAAATTCTTTATTGTAATCTAATTCATCCACATCTCTCAGCACCTATGGGCTGTTCTAACCTTACTACAGCAATAATTTAAGTTGCATGCTTTTGTAGAAAAATAAGCAGCTAACATACAAATGAATCAGATTTTCATCTAAAACTTTTTAAAGGCAATACACACAACATTGATTTCTATCTGTGTGCACATCTGGCATCTTACGCATCAAACCATCTCAACCCAGTACCATCTATATGGGCTGCACAAGCCCAGCTAAGGTCCATTTGAGTTGCAGACAGCTGTTAAGAGATCATGTTGTACATTTACCCAAGATGACTATTGTACAAGGGGCAGTTTAATTCTATATATTCTGCCCACACGCTGTAGGTGACACACAGCAAACATACCAAGATGAGAATTACATAACACAGTTAACTATGGTATACTGCATAGCCTGCATTTGGTGGGCTTTCCACAACACACTGAACCATATTCCAGGAGTTCATAAATTTTCCTGCTTGGGACCCATATGTCCATTTTTATTTTAATTCAGGGTCCCTCAATCTTTGCAACTTTAAGACGAGTAGACTTCAACTCCCAGAATTCCCCAGCCAGCCTTGCTGGCCGGGGGATTTTTGGGGGTGGAAGACCCCCCCCCTTAACGTTTCCCCGGTGGGGGGTACCGTTTTTTTTTTTGTTTTTT